ATGAAGATCGCGACGCGCAGCCTTTCACTTCGTCTATGCTTCCTTTTGCTCTCATGCGTTACTGTATTGATCTACTGTGAGATATCTCAATTGGAACCCATGACGATGATCGATGAGCGGACGATGGCCCAGCGACACGATTAAAATCGACTCCTGATCAATTGTCAACGTCTTTGGAAGAAAGAGTTGCACCTGTTGCGGTTGAAGAAGAGGCTGAATTACTTTCACGCGTTGTGTCTTATCTCGAGCCATCGTATCTATCAGTGATCTCGTCTACTTCCGCTTCAAACGAGAAGGTGGCAACAGCTTCCAAACTTCTACAAGATGTCAGACTTGACAAAGTATCTGAGGGTATTTTCAACAGTCAAGAGTTTCAAAAGTGGTCGGAACTAATTGCGAAAACCTTCCCGGATGAACCACACGAGGGTGCTGGTATTATGTTGATTACATTGGCGAAAGTTGACAAGGATAAATTGCTCAGGTCCATTCTGACTACTAAGATTGAAAACAGCGAGTTGACATTTGGTGTTCGCTTTAAAGATGCGATGATTGACTACATCGCCATAGCCAAGGATACTGATGATCTTGCTAATGATCTCGAAAAAGCGTTGCTCGATCTCACCAGCAGTTTATTGAAGAAAGAACCTGATTCGTTGATTGCTAAGAGGTTGAACGGTGAAGCTCTTATTTCGCGCTCCATCAAGAACAAGAAAAATCTTGTTGAGCGGACTTGGTACTCCTCCATCTACGAGAAGGGTTGGAATCGTGCGTCCATCGTGTTAAACCTCAGGTTGAATCAGCAAAAGATCACAAACAAACAAATTGGTGAAGCGATTGACAAAGGCGCTGACAGTTTTACTATAAAAGCGTTGGATGGTGTGGTACTTCGCAGACTATCGTTACTGTTGGATCATTACAAGCTCGATAATGTGACCCCTGTCAAATTAATTATCAAATCCTGGTTTCAACAGGCCTTGGCCTTAAATGCTGACATCAATCTGGTTAAGCACAAGTTGCAGGACGCTTTTAGTGTCAAACAAATTTTATCGTTTTGTACTTCTACAGAACTTCACGAGAAAGACTTAATAGCTCCTGCGAAAAAAATGCTGGATACCATTACCGATGAATGGGATCCGAAAGAAGTCAGTGACAGTGACGTGCTGGATATTCTCGAATTGACAAGATTTTTCTTGAGCGATCCATTAGCAAGACTTTGGGTGGTTGTCATGTACAATCGGCACAAAGATGCATCAGGTAGCAAGATGGCCGAGATTTTATTTCCTCGCTTTTCGAATGATATCTCGACATTAATCGCTGCCGGAGAGAATTCCATCCTCTCTGACATTAATTCTCTTTCAACAAATCTGAAAAAGATGGTCATAGAAAAAACAGTTTCTCCTAGTCTTTCACATTAACGATATAATATACTTGCTAACAGTGATACTTGAAATAAACGTGCTACTTCAACTATCAAAGAATTAGATTACGTGACCATCTCGAAACTTTTAATTGATGTTGTGGTACTTGATCTAATATACTGACCCGGTGGCGTGGGTCGAATGGTCAATGCTTCTGGACGTTACGCTGTGTGGCGCGGGTTTGAGCCCTCAGCGAACAAAATTGTAATCGTACCAGACATGCAAGAAATGTCGGCTGCATGCTAAATATTACCGACAACAG